AACAGGTTAATTTAAGTTAAAAGACCTAGTCAGAAAAGAGCTAAGGTAGGCTGAGCATTCAAAACTAATATTAAGTCTCTGTGTCATGATTTGGGAGCTGGTTGGTGGCCCAAAAGAAAAAGCCACTAAGCACATACTAAATATTAACAGAGTCCTTTCCCAGAACTTTCTCAGGACAGACCAATTTAACCACAATTGCCTGGCACCTACTATGGATTATATCTAGGAAAGCAGGAAAGCAAGTCAGAAGGCCATGTCCAGATTCAGGTACACAGAGGACAGCACTCTGCATATCCTTCACCAGATTGAGTTCTATAGCTATGTTCTCACATCCAACAAAAATGAACATGTCCTATAAATTGAATGCAAATGTTTGTCACAGAAAGCAAGAAATCACATTCAAGAACAGCCAGGAAGCAAAATGCACTTGAGGTAAAAGGCCCTCTGCCTTTTTTCCTGGAGCCTCTCTCACAGTTCCCCAAGGCATTGTTCACTGTGGGTCATTCTTTTGATCCTGTTCTGACAGTTGTAAGCTATCATGTGGGTGCTGAGAAATGGACCCAGGTCCTCTTGCAAGTGTAGCAAGTGCTATTAACTGCTGAGCCAATATCTCTAGTCCCCTTATCCTACCTACTGATATTCTTAACAAAATGTCAGTGACAATTTTTGTATATATAATTTCATTCTAAAATATATACAGAGCTTGACATGATGTTGAATGTCTGTAATCCCAGAAGCTATAAAGCTGAAGCAGGAGGCTTACTGTGAGCTCAAGGTCAGCTTGGACTACATAGTGAGTATATAGTCCAGAAAAGCAAACCCTCCCCTACCCCAAATTATAAATTATACAGAAAGTTACAATTTCTAGAATTGCTAAAACAATCTCTAAAGACAGAAAGAATTTCTGGGGGCTGGAGAGATGGCCTAGCGGTTAAGAGCACTAACTGTTCTTCCAGAGGACCTGGGATCAATTCCCAGCACCTACATGGCAGTTCACAACTGTCTGTAACTACAGTTCCAGGGAACCCAACACCCTTACACAGGCAAAACAACAATGCACAATAAATAAATACATAAATAAATAAAAAGAAAGAATTTCTGTACACAAGGCTTAATACTACAATAATCAAAACAGTGTGGTACCAGAGAAAAGAGAGACACAGATGAATGGAAAAGACTAGAGAACTCAAAAATTGCCCATACAAACGTGACTAATAGACTTTTGTCAAAAATGCAAAAGCCGCCGGGCGGTGGTGGCGCACGCCTTTAATCCCAGCACTCGGGAGGCAGAGCCAGGCGGATCTCTGTGAGTTCGAGGCCAGCCTGGGCTACCAAGTGAGTTCCAGAAAAGGCGCAAAGCTACACAGAGAAACCCTGTCTCGAAAAACCAAAAAAAAAAAAAAAAATGCAAAAGCCGTCAATGGAAGGATAGACTTTTCACAGAATTATGGTGACACCATAGGACATTCCATTAGCAAAGAAAACAAAACAAAATAGCAAACCTGGACCCTATGAGCACTTTATATGAAAATTGACTCAAAGGTACCATGGACTTTATTGTAAAGCAGAAAACAGTAAACTTTGAGAAAAGAGAAGAACCTAGGAAGCTACCTTGGAAATTAGGAACATTGCTATGGTAAGATAAGTATCTTCCAAAAGCCAGTGTGTTAAAATCTTTGATGCCAGCCTGTGTTGCTATTGAGAAATGGTGCAACACTTAAAAGGTGATGTCTACTGGGAAGAAGCTAAGCCATTGAGGAGTATGTCCTTGAAGGAGATATTACAGTCCCTCCCTCACTATCTCCTTCCTCTCTCTGTTTCCCAACAACCATTTGGTAAATAGTCTTCCTCCACCAAACCCTCCTGCCATGATGTACTACATTGTCATAGGACCAAAGCAACAAGAACCAGTGACCGTGGATGGAAACTCTGGAAACAGGAGTCAAAAGGTATTTTGTCACAATTATGGAAGACTTGTGAATACAGCTAGATAGAAAATTTAGACTAGATGCCCAAAACACAGCTTATAAATTTGATAATTAGAAACCCTTACTTTATAAAAGACTCTGCTAACAGAATGAAAGGAAGGGCTATGGGTAGGGGATTTGTAACCACACATTAGCAAAAGCTGTCTAGAATTAGTAAGAGTTCTCAGAACATGGCAGTAGCCGAGTGTTGTGGTGAACATTTGTAATTAAGACAGGGGAACTGTAAGTTCCAGTCGAGCCTGGGCTACATAGCAACACTGTATTTGATAAAAGTAAAACAAACAAACAAAATTAACAGTAAAGAGACAATTGCAGAAAATAGTGGAGAAAAGGAAGCATAGAAGATACAAAAAACATTTGCCAAACAGGACCTGCAAATGGCAAAGAAGCACATGAAACAGATGGTTGATGTCATTTGATATTAAGGAAATACAAACTACAGTCACAATAAGCTAATACTCCTGCTAGAAGGTTCAAAATGAAGAACAGTGATGATACTGAATACAGGGTGCAGAGAAACTGGGGCACACAAACATGGCAGGTGACAAGAGGAGATAATAAGTCTAGTTGGCTTAAATGAGCCGCCAGTTGCTTCCTCCTAAGGAGGTAATTGTACTTCATCCTGGGTTCTTTTTAATGAAAGTTTTTTACAGTTTATTAGTCCTTTCCTTAGAAATTGGCATCATTGCATCAGATGAGGTCATTGCAGAATCGTTACTTCTTTTACTGTTATCCAGTCCCTAACTCACGTTTTGCCAGCACTATGGTTGGCCTTTGTTAGTCCCCTGACCTCCATTGTTCTGTTCTTGTGCTTCCTTTCTCTACTTTCTTGAGGTATTTTTATTCCCATGAAGTCCATGTCTCTCACAAGTTCATATTTGGGCTCAATTGTCTGTGAATAACCCAAAGAATCATAAATGATCCTGAAGCCAGTTGTCTTGCCACTAAAAAAATAGGTTCTGACTCCCAACTACAAAGATGACATTTGGTGTAGCAATATTTTCTCGTCAAGACTGCCCGCTCACAAATAATGACACAGAGATACATTATTAATTGTGAAAACTTGGCTGTTAGCTTAGGCTTGTCCCACTAGATCTTATAACTTAAATTAACCTGTCTCTATTAATCTACATTCTGCCACATGGCTCAGTTGCCTCTGCTTGGTTTCATATGTCCGACTTCTTCCGAGTCCCCTGGCATCTCCCTGGTAATCCACATGCCTAGATTCCTCCTCCTCTTCCTCTATCTCCCTGGAAATCACTGCTCTCTCTCCTGCCCAGCTATTGGCCATTCAGCTCTTTATTATTAAACCAATCACAGTAACACATCTTCACACAGTGTACAAATATCCCACAACAATCTGGTGTGATCTTGCACATTTTGCCTTGTTTTCCCAAATTTCTGTCTTTTGTACTGTTGCCTTCCCAGGGTGAAGGACATCAGTGAGCATTTTTTTTCCTCTGAAATAGATGACTGGTCATGAACTTATTGGTCCACATAGTTGTTAACTGTGTCATTCATGATGGTGATGATCATTGAGTAACCAAGGAGGAAAAGACCCCTCGCGCTTCTTGATATTTCTACCTGTGGAAACGTTTATTTTTCTCTAAGATCTTCCACCTCCACATTTAAAATTTAAGGCATCAGCCTTAATTTTTTTTAATTTTTAGTCTTTGCCCTTTTCTACTCCTCTTCCTTCAGAAAAACTTGTGTGTGACTCCAGCTTGTCCCCTTGATTTAGAATTAGCTAATATTAGGGATGGCTCACCAATGTCTGTAAGTGATGGTCCTGAAAAAAAAAACTACTCATCCTTACAAATGCCATCTGCCAAGAGGCCAAGACAGGAACATCCTCTTCTCCTTTCTCCATGGAAGTGTTTGTTCCAGAGGGCCTAGATTTTCTCACCAGATCCAAATCAAATACCCTGGTTCTAGAGAGCACAGTGAAGATGTCAGGTTTCTAAGGTCCAGGCTAAGAAGTGAAAGACACAGAATGTGCTCTCTCAGACACAGTCTTATGCACTCAGTGGTGGAGTTCAGAGACACAAGAACTTCAGGCTCCAGCAGATGCAAGAGCTTGCCAAGATTCTGAGCCTCTGCTACACACAGGTTAAGACCTGGTCTTAAGACTATAGAAGGAAATGGAAAAGATGGCAAGAAAGTGAGTGGCCAGGTGACTTGAGGGGTCAACAGCTCCAGAATCCCCAGGCCTGCATTACTATCTCCAGAGGAGTTGGCAAATACATCTGGAAGCCTTCCCATGTGGAGCACCCAGTCCTGAAAGAGCTTAACTTGCATCAGCCAGATCTGAAATAGCCATTCCTGGAATACTCAGACCCTGTACACCCAGGCCTGGGACAACCAGGCCCAGAACATCCCATTCCACCATCACTGCAGAGCGTAATCTCCAGCCTCATCTGTGTCCCAGGACAAATGTCATCACTGGTTTGGAGGCCATGGTGGAAACGTGTGGTAAATTCATCCATATTCTAGTAGTGTGGATTCATTCCTCGATTCCTTAGCACATACACAGTCTGATGGTGTGATGAGTATGTTGTTCAATTTCAGTGAAGGCTGTAGCCCAATTCTTTCTTTCCTTCCTCCCTTCCTCCCTCCCTTCCTTTCTTCCTTCTTTCTTTCCTTCCTTCCTCTCTTCATTTCTTTTAGGACTTTGGTTTGGTTTGGAAGCCTTGTGTCTCCTCCTTACCATCCTGCATCTCATTTTGCCTGCTTTGTCAATTTGGTGATTGGCATATAATTAGAGTATGGCCAAGTAGGTTTCAGTAACCTCTCCTGCTACACACAGAATGTCTCTGACACCTACAAAATGGTAGATTTCTTACAAGTTTGGGTGTCTTTAGGTATAGGTGCTAACCTCAAGTGCAGGAAGTAATAATCTCAAAATGTGTAATAAAGAGTTAATCATTTCTGTTCTTGGCCAATGGCAAGCTTTACTACTAAAAGACAAATTGTCTTGTGAAGGGTTAAGTTCTGGCATATTTGATTGATTTCCTTTATCACTGAGGGCTCTTGGCTTCTCTACAACCACTATTTTATTATTTTTAAATACTTTTAAAAATTGCATTCAAGCTGGGTGATGGTGGCACACACCTTTAATCCCAGCACTTGGTAGGCAGAGGCAGGCAGATTTTTGTGAGTTAAAGGCCATCCTGATCTACAAAGCGAGTTTCAGGACATCTAGGATGATTACACAGAGAAGCCCTGCCTCAAAAAATCAAAAAAAAAAAATACATTCAAGCTAGGCCTGGTGGACTCTGGAGGACAAGTACAGCTCTGCCCCATATCTCTAGACCTGGGGTGGCTGGAAGAATTTCACCCATGAGCCCATCCTGCCAGGCAGTCAGGCACCATTATGGTGAGTGAGTGCAGGGTGGCAAAATGGGAGAGAGAGACAGAGAGACAGAGACAGAGAATGATTCATGTGCTGGAGAGAGAGGCAGATTTGAAGAGATGAGGGAGGTGAGGAACGGGTTGAGGTAGATGCTCTGTTTATCAACCAGGGTCTGTGTTGATGTCAGTGGCTCCTGTTACCACCCAGTGGATTTCTGGGCTGCCACCTAAGGGCATGTTGGCATTTGGGAGCCATGCCACCACTTGGGTCATGCTGAGCTGGACAATCTACAATGCCAACAAGGGCCACGATGACATCCTGGCTCAGGCTGTTGCCAAGGAACATGTCTGGGTCTGTGGTCCTACGACAGCCTGAGTCTGTGCTGATGTCTGTGGCCTGGGTTGCCACCAAAGGCCACACTGATGCCCAGTTTCTGGGCCTCCACCTATGGCCTTCTTGGTACCTGAGGGCTGTGCTGCTGCCAGACCCATAAAGACCTGAGTAACATGTGCTGCCACCTGGGGCCAGGGCATTGTACAGACCTGAGCTACAGCTGGGGCCACGTCTGGGTCTGTGGTCCTGCTGCAGACAGGACCTGTGCTGATGGCCAAGGCTCCTGTCACTATTGAAGGCACTGCAGATGCCAGGGATCTGGGCCCACACCCAGGGCCATGTGGAGTTCAAGGGCCACACTGCCATTGAGTCCATGGCGAACTAAGTGACCTGCACTACAACCAGGACCTGGCGACATCTAGGTCCATGGTCCAAGCACAGCTAGGATCTATATTGATGTCCATGGCCCAGTAATGCCGTATGTGGACACTAAGGACCACATGGACACCAGGGGCCTGGGCTGCCACCTAGGGCCAGGTTAGTGTCCGAGGGTTGAGCCTTTGCCAGGGCCATGCTGATCTGAGTAGCCTGTGCTGACACCCAGGGACATGGTATCATCCAGGCCTGGAATGCTGGTGGGGTCATGTCTGGGTCTGTGGCCCTGCTGCAGCCACAGTCTGTATTGATGTCCATGGCTACTGTTACCACTGAAAGCAGTGGTAACAGTAGGGCTGCACAGAGTTGGTCCTAGCCCTCACTGTCTGCAGCACTAAGGAGAACTGGCCCTGCCCCTCATCAACTGCACCACTCTGGAGAGCAGGCCCTGCACCTTGCCTGAGCAGGAGTTGGGGGTGAGCTGGCTCTGAATACGTGAGAATGGGAGAGCTAGCCCCACAGTCTGTCATGTGGTGGGTGGGTGAGGTAGAGATACTCCCCACCCCCTTGCTTCTCTCCCCTCACCACCTACTGCAGGCTGGGAAACCTGGTCCAGGGGTCATGAGAGTGGAAGAGCTGATCCTGCCACTCACCAGCTGCAGCACTAGGAAGAGTGGGCCCTGTACCTAACCTGGACAGTATAGTAGAACTGACCCCGTTAGTAGAGACACAGGTGATCTAGTGCAGCAAATGTGCATGGGAGATCTGGCCCTACCCTTCATCTGCCATATGGTGGAATGGGTGAGGGAGAGATGATCTCCCCCCTCCCCCACCATTTGCTGCCTGTGGCAGGTAGGACAGCTGGCCCTGAGGTCAGGAGAGTGGGAGAATTGGCACTGCCCCCTAAGGCAGCAGCACTCAGGATAGCAGGCCCTGCTGCACCTCTCCTGGGCAGCACAATAGACTGCCCCTGTTGACAGGGGTACAGGTGAGCAGGCCTGGAAGACATGAGAGCAGGGGGACTAACCCTGCCCCCCTTGTCTGCCATGTGGTGGCATGGGTGAGGAAAAAAATGCCCTCCCTCTCCTCACCCCTTGCCACCTGTGGCAGGTGAGAGAGCTGGCCCCAGGGCCACAAAAGTGGGAGAACTGGTCCTGCACCTCATCAGCTGCAGCACAGGGAAGAGTGGGCATGGCATCTCGCCAGGGCAGCACAGTAGTGCTGACCTTGTTGGTGGGGGCACAGGTGAGCCAGGCATGTAGCATGAGAGCAGGAGAGCTGCCCCAGCCCCCTATGCCACGGGATGGCAAGGGTAAGGGAAATATGCCTTCCCTCCAATTCCTTGCCACCTGCAACAGGTGGGAGAGCTTACCTCAGGGCATGAGAACTGAAGAGCTGGCCCTGCCCTTCACCAAGTGCAGCAGTCCAGAGAGTGCGCCCTGCACCTCACCTGGGCAAAATGGTAGAGCTGGCCCTGGGGGTGTGAGTGCAGGTGAGCTGGACCGAGGGTGTGAGGGCAGGAGAAGTGGCCTTGCTCTTGCTCCTTGCTGCCTGCTGTATTGGGTGAGCTAGCCAGGGCAGTCCTGGAGAGCTCCCCTGGGTGGTGATGATGAGGGAAAGCTGACAGGCTGACCACCCAGGTCCAGAACCAGGACAAGGTAGCCCACCCCAATAACCACCTCATCTGTGAACTTCCAGAGCATGTGAAGGAACCAGACCTGTAGATCCAAAACTACAGGATCTTCATGACACAAGGCAACAACAGGATATCCAAGAGGAGTCCCAGTGAGGGCCCAGCATTGATGGTGTAGCAGAAACCAGAGGCCTTGAACCAGACCAATGAACACTGGCCAGTAAAGATGTATGGACTAAAGGGTAAACTGTGTGACTCACTGGACCACACTACAGCTTCCATGCTGAAATTTTATTTGTTTCATTTGTTTGTTTTGCTTTTTGGTTTTTTGGTTTTACTTTTAAATTTTGTTTTTGGGGGGCAGGTTGCAAAGGCATAGGGCTGAAGCGAGGGGACAGGGAGATGAATGGGATCAGGGTGCATGATGTGAAATCCACAAAGAATCAATACAAAGTTTTTAAAAATTACATTCAATTATCTATTACATGTGTTGGGGTAGGCATGTGGGGGAGCAGAAGATAATTTTGGAGAGCCAGTTCACTTCTTCCATCCTATGAGTCCTGGGGACTGAACTCAGGTTGCTAGGCTTGGCAACAAACCCCATTACCTATTGAGCTTCTTGCCAACCCTGCTTTGTTCTTTAAGATTTGTTTTAAAAGAAGATTTTTAAGATGATTTATACTTGACTGTGCCATGATGAATCAGTACTGGTTTGCCTGAAATACAGATGAATAAAATACAGATCTAACCTTTAAAATCAGACAGTTCATGCTGAGGACTATGAGTTCTGAATGTGAAGGTTGCCACTGATGAGGACAGGAAATAAAAACTGGTCAGGCAGTTTTAGGCCAGGGCCCTGGCAAACATTCTTGTCTTTGTCCTTGGCCAGAAGCTATGGCCTTGCTTCTGTCCTGGGCAGAGGCCAGATATTCCAAATGTGTTTGGGGGCTCTGGCTTCTGGCCTGGTTTCTCCTCATGTGTCTTCTTTTGCATAGCTTCCTACAAGCTATACTTGATGATGTGACCCAGTCTCCAGTCCAGACACCCATCCTTTTTGGTGAACAGCTTTGGAATTTGATCTCTCTGGGTTTTCAGAGATGGATTGCATATGTTATAATGTTAGGAGTGACACTATTAATCTTGGGACCTTGTATATGCAACTGCTCTCTTTATGTTATCTCCTCTTGTTTATAGTCGATCTACACTCCCGTGGTTTGGCTGCACTCTTACTCTATCTGTACGGCTGTTTTCGATTCCACCTCCAAGGCCCAAACCTTCCTATGTCCTAGTTGCAGCCCATCTCCTGCAAAGTTAGGGCCTGAATTTAAAAAAAAAATTTCACTTGGAAATTTTTCATTTATTTGTCTGCTTAGAAATTTGCACCATCACAGCTGATGAAGTCACCACAGAATATTCCTTTGGCTTTTTGCCTTTTTGCCTTTGTAGTCCCCATTTGCAGGCCTTCCTCATTCTGTTCTCACGTTCCTTTCACTGTTTTCCTGAGATCTTTTTTCTCTCATAAAGGTCATGTCATGCAAGTCTGTGTTTAAGCTCCTTTTTTTGCATAAACAAAGGAAAACAGATCATGCAAAAGCCAGTCATCTTGCCACTACCAAAATTATTTCTGAATCCAAATACAAAGATGACATCTGATGTGGTTTTGAACATTTTGGCTATCTTTTCCTAAATTTCTGTCTTTGGTACTGTTGCCTCCCCAGGGTGACAGACATCAGTGATCATTTGTTTCCTCTGAACTAGACAGTCATGAACTTCCTAGTCTGGATGCTTACTGTATCATTCTTGATGTCAAGGGTCCTTAAAAACTACCAAGGGGCCTCAATTCTTTTTTTTGTAGAACTTTCTTTATTTTTTACTAAGACTTTCCCAGAGGACATAATTAAGCTCATCACCATCCCTACCCCCCACAAAGGGTTAGTGCACTCACTGCTGTAAAGCAGATACAAACAGTTTCCAGGACTGGAACCAACCTTAACTGGCAAAGAACACTTTCTCTCTGAATTATCATAAAAATGTTTAAGTTAAAAAAAAAAGAAAAGAAAGGAAAGGAGCAAAGGGGCAATGGTTTCAGAATGAAAAGATCATTCACGATCATGTCATACATTCCAGCTTGGCTCTAGTGTAACAAAACAGAAACAGGATTACTATCATACAAAATGTTCACTACAGCATGCTGTATGCACCTGTTCCCACCCCCAGCCCCTAATGCTTCCAACCCAACTACTTCCCAGCCTGTTGGGCCTGTCGACGAAGGAGCACATAGATCTTCGCTTTGATCCAGTCTTTGTTATAAGGCTGGTACGTCTGTGTATCAGTTCGGTAAACAAGACAGCTGGGATCTGCCAGATCATCGATAAAGTCAAACAACTGACTGATATTGTATGTGATGGAGGGGCTGTTGGGATTCATTCTCTTCAGATGTTCTTCATACATTTTACAAACACCTTCCATGCACTCATTCACAGACTCACAGTCAGCGTAAGTCTTGCCTTCTGACCTCTTGGCAGGCTGTACCAGCAAAATGGTGTAAGACATTGCGCCAAATGCTTTGTTGCAGCCACTGCTAACAGCGCTGCCGCTGCACATGAGCTTTGGGGCCTCAATTCTTGATGTGGGAGGATGTTATAAGAATTCGATTTTGGATGCTTCTGAGGATGGATCCCTCCCTCATGATCTGCTTTGGTCACACTTCCTGTTTCCCTGGTAACACTAGAAAGGGAAGCTTCATAATTTCCCTTTAGGATTTAAAATACCATATGAAAAGATGGAAGTGTCAGGGTTTTGCTGAATGAGGCTCATTCAGGGGAAGTTATTTTCTCCTGGCCAAAGGAATGGAATCTGAGTTTTATCTCTGGCCCTGGGACCCAGAGACAGGACATTTTGATTTGCTCCAAAGATTAGAATATTGCATGCTATTGTCTCCTCCATTAGAGTTAATCCAACTAAGTTTGTCAATCACCTGGCCAGGAGACCATGCCTCGAGAAAGCTGATTCACAAAAGGGCATGCTAAGGAGACGGAAAGAACAGTTATTCCCTTAATAAAGTGAAGTACATATACTTCCCAGAAGCCCCCCTCCAATGTAGTTGCCCACAGAGCTTCTGCTGTGCACCGCTAAGCCTGCTTAGCTTAAAAAGAATAACTTTCCCTCCTATATATCTCTTTTTTTGGATAATGGCCAAAAGCCTAAGCATCTTTTCCTGACATTGGGTTTTCTCACTTGCTCTCTGAAATTCCTTTATCTGCCGTGCTTTTTACATGCCAGCTTTCTCAAACCCTGACTCTCCTTTCGCTTGGCAGCTGGCAAAATTACAGATCCCCTGCCTTGTTGCATTTCTTTTAAACTCTAATAAAATGGTCCTTGAGCTTCCTTCTCAGTCTTTTCTAAAATTCTTTTATTAAGGAGACTAAGAATCCAAATGGGAACCGCAATTTCCCCAGTAACACTGTATTAAGTAAAACTGTGATGAAACCTTTTTTGTGCTTTCCTTGTGTTAACTACTCTTTGGCTATAAAGTGTTGGCCATGGCCCTTTATGAAGTACAAGAAAGGTAGCACCCCCTTTCCTACCCCCAGACTTAAAACAGGTCTTCTGTGGTTCCTAACTGCACCTAAATGTGATGTAGTCCTGCCTTCCTCCGCTGAGCTCTTCATATACCCCTTTGCATCTCAGTGGTCAAAGAGCTCTCTCTACACATGTGAATGTACAGACAGATAAGTGAAAATGACCTAGTTAGCTTAGTTGGTAGAAGAATAAATGGGAAAATATGTGTAGACCCAAAGCTTTTGTGTGCTCCAGCCAGGCATTTAAGTTCGGAGATCTAAAACGTTCCAGTGAAACAGTGTTTTGGCTGAAATCTACAGCACCAGTATTAGCAGGTTCCCTTCTCTCCAGGCAGCTCCACAGGTGAACTGACCCTACTTCCTAGGTCTCTGGATCTCTAGAGCAGCAGCTTGGTGCTTTCTGGCATCAGTCTTCACATTTGTCTACTGAGGGTCATGTCTCCTGCCTGAAAACTATTCCTATGGTGGCAGCAGAGATAGTCTGGTCCAAGCAAATGGAAGCATGGGAAAGAATGATTCTAGATGAGATGGAATGCTAATTGGTTCCCACTTGGGGTGATTTCCTACCGGATTTGTGCAGCACTGGTGGCAGTGTCTGAGCGTGTGTGTGCGTGTGGAGTAGACCCTGGGACTAGACCCGGTTGGATTTGAGAAAATGGGGTAAGGGGATGCAAAATGAACAGAGAGGGATATTAACTGGTGAAAAGGACTTGGGAAGGAGACTGCTTCCTAGCACCAACAACCCCCTCTGCTGGCTCCCAAATAGTTGTCTTGCTATCTTGAGATGCCATTTAGGCACTTATGGGGACCTGAACCAAGGAGTGGCAAGTCGCAGTGCCCAAAGACCCGAGAGTTCCGGACTTCCCTCATGCCCCAATTCCTCTGCCTGCATATAGGGAAATGGAGTCCATGACCCTGCAAATGTCACAATCATCAAACCCAAAAATGTTCTGCTCTTCTTGGTACCTCCTCTTAGAACCAGAATGCAGAGCTGCTTTAGTCCAGGGTTTTCAGTTCGGAGGTTTCCGGGCGACAGCTCCAGATTAACTCCCACTGCCGCAGTACCAAGAGGGGCCCTGCTGGCCAGCCATTCCGGTCTTCTCTTGGTCTGTCCATTCCTTCTGGGCCTAGTGAAACCAGCTAGTTCCGCAAGAGTGACCGCGGGAGAGGACTCTGAAATTAACACGCGGGAGGGCTCGAAGGGGCAAGGGAGGGTATGGCCAGGGGAAAGCCCGGGAGATGCAAAATGGAGGAGGGGGCCAAGAGAGGGGAACCTGAAATGGAAGGTCGCTAAGTGAACGGCAGGGGGCGCCAGAGACCGCTCGAGGCCAAGGCCAAACTCCGCAGCGGCAAGGGCGTCGCCAAGCAGTCCGCAGTCCCAGGGAGGGGCTTCCTCCCCAGCTTATCCTGCAGTTGTGGCAACAGTTCTGCCTGCCTAAGCACCACGACCAGGATCTGTGTTTGCTACGTGGAATAACCTTCTGTTCCTTTTCGCATCTCTTAACATCTTCTCTGTTTTCTTTTCTATCCTCGTCTTCTCTTGATAAATATAGATAGATGACAGATATTAATTGGTGATAGATAATTGAAAGATATTTAAACATACTTGTATTTGTAAAAGAAGAAACTTGAATTTCAAGCATCGTGTGGAAAATTTTGGACTAAGAAATTAAGGAAACCCACAGATAGTCTCTCTAAAATGTTATGAAACCATTAAAAATATTACCAACAATTTATAACATCACAGGATGATTATTTTAAAATACTATTAAAAGAAAAAATGCAGGGGAAAAATGCCGGGTGATGGTGGTGCACACCTTTAATCCTAGCACTCGGGAGGCAGAGGCAGGTGGATCTATTGAGTTCAAGGCCAGCCTGGTCTACCGAGTGAGTTCCAGAATAGGCAGGACATCACAGAGAAACCCTGTCTGGAACCCCACCCCCCAAATGGGGTGGGGAATGCAGGGTACACACAAATCTCCTTGTAAAAATGTCATCTACACAAAGAAAAGTGATGGCAATCAACATGGTAGCTCATTTCTATAATCCTGTAACTAGGGAGACTGAGGCAGGAGCATCACAAATTCCTGGCCAGCCTGGGCTATGTAATGAGTTCTAGGCTGACCTGGGCTACAGAGAATCAAACAATAATAAAAAGGGAAGACAATAAAAACTTTCCCCAGATAGTAATCATTTTTGTAGGTGTTAAAGTACTTTTCCCTATCTTTGAAATTGGTAGAGTGTGGATAAACTCACACTCAAATGAAATATGAACCTCCCTTTGTTTACAAATAAAACTATGCAAGCTACATGTTGGGTTGTGGTAGGGGCAGGGCTTGAGGAAGGCATGAGGTTTCCTCATTAAACCTCAGCTGTCAGGGAGACACATCTGTTTCCTTTTTGCTTCTACCCAAGCATTCCTTCTTTTTACCAGGAACGTCCACCTCTCAGCCCCCACACCAAACCTGAAAGTCCTAGGCCTCTTGCTCTGCTATTAACATTTCTCTGCTGAAAATAGTTAAGAATTTCTCAATTATCTAATAAACTGACCAAGTCTTTTCACACCTGGCACTAGAAGCACAGACATTTAGGCTCCAATTTACAACTTCCTAATAACTACAATTTTCCGCACACACGAAGCACTGGAATGTATCAGACAGATGAGGCAGTTTTCCACTCCCCAGTAGTCCTCCCCTGGCTGATGGTGTTCGGGGGAAGTCCATGGCTCCTAATGGGGAGCTTCGGAGCACCTGTGCAGTGAGACTTCGGTGCGATAAATGGAACTTTCTTAAAGAGATACAGGTGATATGTGCCAGGTACAATTTGGTCTTCAATACATCAGGGCACTGAGGCAAGAATGGAGGCACTTCCTGTAGTCCCAGCTACTCAGGAAGATGAGTTAGTAGGGCCAATCTGGGCTACACTGTGAGACCATATCACACACATGTGCATGTGTAACACTCCCTCCCCAACCAAATAACTGCTGTGGAACAATCTTTGTACACTCTAAATATGTATTGCTCTCATTGTTAATAAAAAGCTGATTGGCCAATTTGGTGATAGATAATTGAAAGATATTTAAACATACTTGTATTTGTAAAAGAAGAAACGAATTTCAAGCATCGTGTGGAAAATTTTGGACTAAGAAATTAAGGAAACCCACAGATAGTCTCTGCATTTTTTCTTTTAATAGTATTTTAAAATAATCATCCTGGCACCAATTTGGCAGGATTTTCTGGTCAGAGAGAATTCTGGGAAGAAGAGTGGAGTCAGAGGAATCACCAGCGAGACACAGGGAGGAAACAGGAGGTGCAAGATGAAAGAGAGGTAATTCCATGTGACAGAATGTAGATGAATATAAATGGTTAATTTAAGTTGTAAGAGTTAACTAGTAATAAGCCTGAGCTGTTGGCTGATCATTTATAATTATTATGTTTCCATGTGGTTATTTGGGAACTAGCTGGTGAGAAAGAAAACTCTGCCTACAAATAAGCACCAATAACTTTTAGGCATCTCCCAAGCTAGTCCCTAAAGATAATTTTTCCCTTGATTCTATATGGGTGAGGGTAGAACCAAGGGAGGAATCTGCTTCCAGACACTCCCCACAAAGGTGCAGAAGGAAAAACCTCAGTAGACATCACCATGTGGAGGAAACTTTGGCATCTTCCATCCAAATGTGGAGGAGCACTCTGTCTTGGTCCTTTTGCCTGAATGAGTTACAGAAAGAGTGGTCTCTCTCTGTGCAAGGAATTCTGGTTTCAGCTGGGCTGAGGCCTAAGTCTGTTGAAGCTGCTGAATGAATTTGTCCTTCTCTCCACTCCTACCTGCCTGGTTGGCCTGGGACCAGAGGGGATCTGTCATCAAGATGCTGGAGGAGTGGAGATGGGAAGTAGAGCCACCCTGATTCATTTCTGTCCCTCTTCTCAGAAAAGTACTGACTTCTATTGTTCTCTGTACCCGGCATGTCTTTTCTCTTCCAACTTGTCACTATGGCTTGACTCAGTAGGGGGATGAGTCAGGATCTGGAAGTGACTCAGGCATGGGAGGGTGTGGGTGGACCAGTCTACATTACTTCCTGTTCTTGTGCCAAGCTACAGGGCACAAGTAAGACTTATGCCTTCCACCACTACACATGTCTAGAAGGAGGCATCAAGGGAACCCAGAAATGGCATTTGTCATTTCCTCTATTTCCTGAAGCTATCTGTGGTTGTTATTTTTGCTGTGTGTCCTCGGCCACCTTGACACCCAGCCCCATTGCCCTAATATCCAGAATACCCATGTTGTTCATTAAAATCTCATTTGGAATCCATTAGAATGGGAAATATGTACTTTAGAACCAAGAACATATGACATTTCCCTAATTGTCAAATTAGAGATGGCAATTTGAGACCCATATATTAAACTGAAGGAATCTAGCATCTGGTCATTGTTTTACCCTCCTCACTGTTTCTTTATCATTTTTAATATGGTCCTTCACATCCATGGGTTCCCTATCCATGATTCAACCAACTATGGAGTGAAAATTTTTTGTTTTTGTTTTTTATGAGATATGGTCTCACTGTATACCTCCTGCTGTTATGGAGCTTGCTATGTAGACCAGACTGGCCTTGAACTCACAACAATCTACCTGCCTACATCTGAGTTTTGCGATGCTCCACCTGGCCCAGCAAAAAAAAAAAATGTAATATCTGCACTGAATATGTACAAGCTTTGCCCCCTTATCATTCCCTATTACTGGACAGTACTTGCATTGTGTCAGGTATCACATACAATCCAAAAATTATTTAAAGTATATGAGAGGATATACGTAGGCCACAGTAAGTATTATAACATTTCTTATAAGGGATTTGAGCATCTCAGGATTTGGGAATCCATAGGGGCTCCTAGAACCCATTCCATATAGACTGTAACCCTAGGCTTTAGGATTCAAATCAGCATCAGTATGCTGTTTTACATGGTGAGCTTTTGATCATGTGTTGACATTTGTACTTTTTATTTTATTATATTTTATAACATTTCTTTATTGATTTTTTGGGAATTTCACATCATGTACCCCAATTCCACTCATTTCCCAGTCCCTCCATATCTACCCTTCACCCTTGCAACATGCCCCCTCAAAAGAAAATTTAAAAAAAAATTAAAACCAGACCCAAACATACAAACAAAAAAAACTTCACTCCTCTTTCTTTCCCACCTCTCCAACACCTCTTCATTCCTCTTAATGTCATTGGGAGCCATGGTGTGTCACACAGTATACCTTTCTGTTCCATCAGCTTTACTTGCAAATGTTTATTGCAAAGAGTCATTTTCTGGTTCAAGGCCTCTGGTTTCTGGCATACCATCATCACTGGACCCTCACTGAAACTCCTCTAAGACATCCTGAAGCCACCCCAAGTCATGGATGTCCTGTGGGTATCATTCAGCAGTACCAGTCCCTTCACATGCTCCAGCAGGTCATAGATGGGGTAAATGTTAGGGTGGGCCAACTCAAAGCCCTGGATGTGGGCCTGGGTGGTAGTTGAGCTGCTCAGTCCTGGCTGCTGGGGCCACCTCTTTCAGGCGAGGAGCTGAGTCAGCTCTCCTATGACCATGTCATCAGGGCCAGCTCTCGAATGTCCCTGGTGAGGAGTAGGACCATGCTTGGGCCTGGGCTGCCACCTGTGGCCATGTTGGTGTCCAAGGGTCCTACCACCACCACTGGAGCCACTCAGATCTGGGTGTCCTGTGCTGTCTCACTGGGTCATGATGATGTCCAGGCCTGAGCTGCTGCCAAGAACCATGTCTGGGTCCATGGCCCTGCAGCAGCCAGGATCTGTGTTGATGTCCATGGCCTCTGATACCATCAAAGGCTATGCAGATGCCTGGGGTCTGGGCCACCACCTGGGGCCATGTTGGTGTCTGGAGGTCATGCAGCCACTGGGGCAATGCCAATCTAAATGGCCTGCACTGCCACCTGGGGCCTTGGTGACCTCTAGGCCTGACTGCTGCCAAGGACCATATGTGGGTCCGTGGTCCTACTGCAGCTGGGGTCTATGTTGATGTCTGTGGCCCGTGTTACCACAGGGGACCAGAGGAACCACGTGAGATGAAATTTGAAGGCCATGCTGAGCTAGCCTTGCCCTTCACTGGCCCTGGGAAAGCTGGCCCTGCCTCTTGCTGGACACTGCAGCAATAGAGTTGACCCCAATGACCTGGGCATGGGGGAGCTTACATTTGTAGTTTTTAAAACATTTTGTTGTATTTATGTGTCCATGTGTCCC